AATCTTTATTACAAACAGTCCAGCGGGTCTTAAAGAACTTTGTTTTTCTACCTCCACAAGACACAAGTGCATATGTTGCCTTGTATATCTAAAAGTGCACTTTTATTTGTTTTAAACCTAGCCAAAAAGCTTGTGAAACACAGTAGACTTTAATTATATCTATTTATTGTGAAATTACTACATTTCAGTCTCAATCCATGTTCATTTTTACCGCGAACAAAGCGCTGTCACTTTAATTCAGCGCGTGCAGCACAGCAAAAATAGACTCGGTGCGTAAACGATCGCTGCACTGCTGCAGACGCACCGCACCTGGAACGCACTGACGGACCGCAACCGCGTGCAGTGTGAAAGCTCTAATCCGTTAACATGGGAGCGTAAAAAAAAAAAGCAACGCACACGCACTGCAGACGGAGTATGTGTGAAACAGGCGTAAGGACAAATTTTGGTTATAAAGATCATGCAATTGCTCCCACGCCAACACGGACTATCCAAATTACTGCAGACAACAAAGATGGTTAAAGAAACAACCAAAATTCAGTTTATAATTATCAGTTAGTTTCTTGAGAAATTAGAAGGTGGAAAAGCTTTTCTACAAAAGTGGGAAGGGGTGTGTTCCAAAACTTAAAGATGCAATCCATGATATTCATTAAGGTTTGCATTCTGAACAAAACTTCTGGCAGTAAGACACTAACACTGAGCGAGTTTACATGTGCAACAAAATGCTATCAAAAATCAGTGCCTATTCATGAATAAATCGTGAAAATAATTTGGTTTAGGTCTTGGCATATTACAGGCTTATTCATCTAAACACACTTATTGACATTAATATAGAGCACAATATATTGTAACCAGAACGGTATCAACCAATATTATCAATTCATTTCAAATTAATTTGTAATTAAATCAACTTAATTTTGTGTTATTGCAGATAAAACTTAAAGTCCAATTTTAAACATTTATTGTCTTAATGTCTAATTTTACTTGAACAATATATCAAGATTAATTAATTATGAAGACCATAATCTCTATATCTGTGAAAAATAATACTAAAAACCCTCTGGCATAAGACAGTAAGACCCAACCTTTAAAATTGGCGGATTTTTATGATTTTACCATTTACAAACAAACAAATAACAGATTTAGTGTTCATTAACTGCTCACTGGAATGTCTTAAATTACAGACAATTTTTGCCATTTTAAAAGTTCAACTGAAATTAAATTCAATCTCAGTCCTTCCCCAGAAGAATCACAGACCATTTAAATGTTACTAATTAGTAGGAAACAAACATGATCTGATGGATCACGAACAAACAGTACATCTTAAAGTAAAGGATTAGGTGACAAGAAAGGAGGTGACATTAAAAAGTGTCCAATTCTTAAAGAGAAGGAACATCGAACATTACAAAGGACGACACCAGAGAACATTAAAATACTGATGTGGTGAGAAGATTGTTAGAACGTGTTACATTCACTAATTGCACTAGTGACAACTTGCAATTTTGACAAGAACCCATTTAAATGCCTTTTAAAGTATGAGATACACTGAACATACAAATCTAATCATCTCAGTAATTATGGCTTTAGCTATAATGCAAGGCATGAAGACTGTCAGGCCAAACGTACCTCGAGCGCAGATGAAACACCAGCCTACGTTTACAGGTGAGGAAAAGTGTCCGTTCTTCCTGGAACTGGAGTGGTTGCTACATATGATGATGTGGGGTGTTATCAACACACTGCCAGCCGCCACACAACCGTCTCCTGTGTGATACGCCACCGGACAGCGGATACATCGCATCATACGGCCTAAACAGAGAGAGAAAAAAGGAAACCGCTCTGAAATTGTTTCTGTAAAATAAAATGCAAAAGTCAATCTTCTATATATCTACCTTTGCCAGCTTTGTGAAGGTCTCTGTCGAGACAGCATGTGGCACAGCTGTGCTGAGGGCAGCGGAGGCCTCTAGTATCGGTGGTGGTGCCAGTGTAATTGCGGGCACATGTTTCGTGATAATAGCGCCCACAACCGTTCACTGAGCACCGCTTCAGGTCACCCTCCATGACCTTGCAGGAGAAACAAGGGTGGGAACCTGGAGAAAGAGACGGCGACAAACAGATTAGACTAAACAGTAACAGAAAATAGAACAAGCAAAACCATTTTCAATGCACTAAAAATGCATGACACAATTTAAAAAAACTAACCTAATTCTTTAAACAGGTTCATAGTAAAATGTTGTGTAATGATGTATTGCTATAAAACTTTTTTCACAGATGTTACAGGCCATTTTTTGAGTGTTACTGGTGGGCTATATAACTGGTAACAGCTTTTAAAAAGTTACCACAAATCAGATGTAATGCTAGAAATGAAATGAAATAGGAGAAGAATATCTCTTTAATTCCGTTTATTGAATAATTATGTCTAATCATTTAGGAGGAATAGGATGTAATAATTAGGGCTGGGCAAAATTTTTTTCGATTAATTGTTTTTTTTAAATGACGTCGATTCGATATCGATTCTCAAAAGCCGCGAATTGATCTTTTCCGGTATTTATTTCAGCAAACATTTAAAACAAGATTTGATTATTGTGAATCTTATCATTAGTCTTCTCCACTAGATGTCACCCTCTTATTTACCTTGCGCGATGTTACAACAGAAAGCCTGTCATTCATTCAGTGCTTATCATAGCGGAGATACTGTTGACAAGAACCAAGAACAAAGCAATGTGCACGATTTGCAAAGCTCAGGTAAAATTCTATAGTAATACAACAAATCTGCGGAAGCATTTGATATCACGCCTAAGGCACCATGATTTCCGCAATGAATGAATGGTGGAACGTACTGTTTTGTTTACTAACGCGCGGACGACGCTCGCGGTGTTTTCAGCTTCTGCCGTCTCACTATATGATGGTATGAACACATGAATATCATCTCCAGCTGCTCTGAGAGTCACTTCATTAGCATTTTACCATTTAATTTGAGAAAACTACCATCATATCACATTCCTCATGGCAACCAGTCAAAATAAAAGTTCAGTTTAATGTGAAGAAACTGTGTCAGAAATATATTACTATTTAGCAGCCTTAAGACTCAGTGTAACAACAATGCTACTACTACTACTACTACTAATAATAATAAATATTAATAAATCTTTATTTTTAAAGGAATAATCACATTTGTTTTCTTTTTAATTTTAACAGTAAACATCTGTTGTGCAGCCCTTTGTTTGGCCAAAAATAAAAGGGTTTAATTTTCAATTGATTAGGATAAATTAAATTAATGTTTTATGCCTTCATCTGATTACCAGAAAAATTAAGAAGAACATTTTATAGGGCCCTATTATTGTTTAAAATAAGGTTAGGACCCTATGCAAAAATAATAGGTTTAAAATACAGGTCTGTGGCTCTTAATTTCTTTTTAAAAGTGTTCCTGTGGCTCAATGGTAGAGCATTGGGTTAGCAGCTCAAAAGGTTGTGGGTTCAATTCCCAGGGAACACACATACTGGTAAAAAAAATGTATAGCCTGAATGCACTGTAAGTCGCTTTGGATAAAAGCGTCTGCTACATGCATAAATTCAATTTTAATAATTCACCATTTGTAAACTGATGTTTACTGTTCATTTTTTAGAAATACCAATAGCATTTGTATTAAAACTAGTGCTGTTAAACGATTAATCGCATCCAAAATAAAAGTTTGTTTACATAATATATGAGTGTGTACTGTGTATATTTATGTATATATAAATACACACACATAGTATATATTTAGAAAATATTTACATGTATATACATTTATAAATATATTTAATATATAAATATATTTAATATATAAACATAACATATATATTTTGATTGAGTGTGTGGACCGGTGTCTTTTATACAGGTAACAAGTTCAAACAGGTGCAATTAATACAGGTAATGAGTGGAGGATAGGAGGGGTTCTTAAAGACAAACTAACAGGTCTGTGAGAGCTAGAATTCTTGCTGGTTGGTAGGTGATCAAATACTTATTTCATGCAATAAAATGGAAATTAATTATTTAAAAATCATACAATGTGATTTTCTGGATTTTTTTTTTGATTCTGTCTCTCACAGTTGAGGTGTACCTACGATGAAAATTACAGATCTCTCCATTCTTTGTAAGTGGGAAAACTTGAAAAATCAGCAGTGTATCAAATACTTATTTGCCCCACTGTACATGCATGTGTTTGTATTTATATATACATAATAAATATACACAGTATACACATACTGTATGTTATGTAAACAAAAACTTTTATTTTGGATGTGATTAATAGCTTGACAGCACTAATTAAAACTATATTCACTAAATGTAATAAAAAAAAAAAAATCAAGAATCGAGCCAAGAATCGAATCGAGAGCTTGCAAATCGAAATCGAATCGGGACATCTGAATGGATACCCAGCCCTAGTAATAATGCTCACCGGTCTTACACTCCTGACACAGTTGTTCTCCATCTGTTCCACTGTTAGATCCAATACACTCTGGATGAAACAGCCTGTTACAGTCTCCCTCACAGCTCACCAAAGAATCCCCGAATGTTTCACAGACCTAAGAGATTTACAAAAGAACCACAACAACAGATTGATACACAACAACAATACCTGAAAGAGTCAGACAAAATTAGAACTACTGTTACAGGGTTTCTGCAGGATTTTATAAGCTCAAATTTAAGACCTTTTTTAAGACCTGCACAAATAAAATTAATACCATATGGGCGGGGTAGGGCAATGTAGTACCATATTAAACCGTAAAATTACTGTAAAAAGCATAATTTACAGTTCGGATACAAGTTTTCACAAAAACATCATTTTATAAAATGATAAACTTTACATTTAAGCCTTTAAACCATTGTTAGGTAAATGGATGAGTCAAAAGTATTAATTATTATATTAATTTAAACAATTATTATCATTAAATTATTGTATCAATTAAATAACAAATTAGGGTTGTGCGATATTGACAAATTATATCTAGATAATAATCTGGGATTTTATCGATGACGGTAATTTGACTATATTTTGCTGAGTGTGTTATTGCGCTGATATCTTAAGGACTACTGTGGACAGCTGACTCCTGAATTTATTGATATTCTTCATATTCTGTGTGGTCAGTTCACAGCAGTAATAGAAATTAATAATTTCCAACAAGTTTTATGGGCATTTTTACCTTTATAAAGCCATTTTTTCTAAAAGTGTACATCATCTTTTGAGTCAAATTCTTGCATTTGGGTTGTTACCAAGCAAATTAAATCAGTATCAACAAAATGTATTTTTGCAATGCAGAGGAAACACAGAAGCTGCATTAGAAGTGGCATTTAGATGTATTTACACACTGTTTAATGCAGCTTTGAGGGACATTAAATACTTTAAACTGCAATTACAAATGCATAAATGTTTTGATATTTTAAACATAAAACATTGAAAACTGATGTTTGAAATTATTAAAAAAATTAAAATGTACCTTAAATGTGAAATTAAAACCACCAGCAGGTGGCAGCAAGTTACTGTTAATAAGCGAATCATTGCGATTGAACCGAATCATTTAAACTGGTGATTCATTCAGGAACGAAACCCTGTTGTGTTGCTCAGAGACGCAAAACAGTGCTGTGGCTGTGTTTGAAGTGATTTTTGTTGGAGAAATAGAGCAAAAACAGGAAATATGGTGTCTAAAACGCAAGTCTCTTAATATTAACTTAATGTTTATTGAACTGTTGTATAAAACAAATATCACATTTGTAATCACCTTCATATCGATCCACCAGTTCACATTTAAAGCTCTGCGTGTTTGCAAGGTAAAAACATGGGTCGATTTTTGCATTGGTCTGAACTCTGAACAAAACAACAGTTTTATTGAAAATGCTCATTCATTCTCTGCCAGCAGGTGGAGCGTTTGATTGAAATATAACTGTTTCCCCGGTCACGGCAGAACACAAAGCAGCGCAGCACAGGACTTTGAACGTGCAGCGCTCGTGTTTATTCAATAAAATCATAACGTTAGCCGTTTGAAGTTTAATCGTCACATTCAGCCATATCGCAATTCTGGTTTTTCCGTCCCCAAATTTAAGACCTCTTGAAATCAAAATGAAGACTTTCTTGTACAATTTAATACTTAAGGCCTTAAATTTAAGTCTTTAAGACCCCGTGGAAACCCTGTGTTACTGTGGATCTGCTGTTAACCTAAAAAATAATCCTTTTATTTAAGCAAAGACACAATACATTTATCAGACAATATAGACTTTTACATTGTGTCAAATATAATTCCATTTTAAATAAATGCTGTTCTTTTGAACTTTCTATTTGTCAAAAAATCTTGGTTTCCACAAAACTATTAATCAACAAGTGTTTTCAACACTGATAATTATAAGAAATGCTACTTTAGCATCAAATAAGCGGACTAAACTAATAGCTGCTGAAAATTCAGCTTTGCCAGCACAGGAATAAATTACATTTTGAAATATATTCACATAGTCATTTTAAATTGTAATACTATTTAACAATATTACTGATTTTACTGTGTGTTTATCAAAACTTTTGAACAGTAGTGTATCTAATGTCATTACATATAATGTTATATAAACCCAGTGTTTATAGAGCTTACATGGCAGACTGTGTCCTTTTTTGAGGAACTTCCTCCTTGACGCGACAGGCTGGAGTCCACGGACTGCGCATCAGATCCGTCAGCATCTACTGTAGCAGGACTGTCCGAGAGCTTCCCGAATCCAGTCTGCAAGGGATGCAAATGAATGCAAAAATCTGACTTTACAAGCAGAGTCCATTTGGCTACAAAACCTGATAGGCATTTTAAATGAACATCACATAACAATTGCGTAACCCAATGAGGAGTGTATGGCCAATCAAAAAATCCTGCTGGCACTCTGGCTGTATTTTTGAGTGTAGTCTGACCTGTGGATCATTGAGGCCTCTGGAGTCAGAGTCGGAAGTGTCTCTGTACAGTGAGCTGGCCATCTCCACATCAGTAGATGCTCTGCTGCGTTTCTTCAGTGGTTTACACGAGTCTGAGATCTCACTGGCACCTACAGGATTCGAGTAGCATTAACAGGGAGATACTGATCCATAAATTAATTTATGGGCGTATTAATCATTTAAAACATAACCCAAAATATTACATCTAAGAAAACCTTTTTAAAAAAAATTTAAAATTCATCTTGAAGTGTGTCAAGCACCTTTTTGCGACCCCGTTTTGAAATCCATTTGAGGCGCTGCTTCAGCCTGTGAGGAAACAAAAACAAAACAAAAAAAAAACCCCAGAAAAAAAGTTTCCTTATTATTTGACACCTTTGCATAACTTACTCAGACATTCATAAAGACTTGTGATTCACTTTAAATATACTGAATCACGGTGTTATTTTAGTATCATTGAGATGCTATTATTATGTTTATTATTTTGAATTGGCTTTAATTTCTGATTTCATTTTAAATTTCGTTAACATTCTAACATTTTTTGTGTTTGTCATTTATTTATATTTAAGTGTCTATACAGTTTTTAACAATTTCAAGATTTAGCTATTTTAGTGCATAAAGTTAAACTAAATAAAAATGACAAATGTCGCTTTGGTAACTAGCTGAAATAAAATATGTTTAAGGTTTTTATATTTTAAAGTTTACTTTAATTCAATTAATGGAAATATATTTTTGTTTTAGATTGAGATAACTATAACCCTGAAGCATTATGAAGAGGAGAAACAAAATAACATGGGCAAATTCACTAAATCATTAGGTCACGTACATGCTGGTATTTCTGTGCAAAAACCTGTTTTATTCACAATCTGCATCTGCATCTTAGCTTCACGGCACCTTTTTGTGCAAGTTTGTCCAATTGCAGATTGTGTTTTCTTAACAATAAACGTTATACAAACTGAAATTTGTTTAAAAGTGAAAAGTTTTTTTCCATCATGGCATCAGTAGTAACATAGTATATACAAAACTCGTTATTTAAAGAGACGATTCATGTGACTGGAAGGCAGTGGAGGAGTGATGCTGAACGATATATCAGACTGTATGAGTCTGCTGTATTCTTCACAAGTAAGCATTCAGAATTGACCCCCAAGATTTGTGCTGTGCTAATAACATTTTGAACAAATATATAATAACAGGTTTGCACAGTAATTTGATTTGGATAAATACTTTAGTGAATCAGGTGCTAAAAATATGCAGGCAGCGAATGCAAATCAGTGTTAATTTTGACAGCAAATTTTGATTTAGTTTTAGTCATAGTATTTTGACTAAAATGCCATTTAGTTTTAGTCATTTTAATCATCTGAATTGTTTTTAGTTTTAGTTGACTAAATCTACAGTAATTTTAGTCGGCTAAAATCGAATGGGTTTAGTTACAGTGTAATGCATTTATTAAAGGGCTCATATGATGCTTTTTTAAAGATCATTATTTTGTGTATTTGGTGTAACAGAATATGTTGACATGCTTTAATGTTCAAAAAACACATTATTTTTCAAATACTGTACATTATTGTAGGTCCTCTATGCCCCGCCTCTCTCAAACGCTTAGTTTTCTACAAAGTCCCTCCTTCCGACAAGCGCAGTCTGCTCTGATTGGCCAGCTGACCACAGCTGTCAGTAGATATGTGGGGGCGTGTTGGAACAAGCTGTTTTAGGGGGGCGTGGCAGAGTCTTAACTTTGATAAAGAATATCTCTTTGGTTTTGAGACTTTAGTCTTTGCAACTTCAGGGATCTTATCTATGCACAATCAGCTTGTCACACTCCAAAGAGAAAGGAAAACTTGAAATCGCATCATATGACCCCTTTAAGCATTTCTCCAAAATTTCCAAACTCATTATATAGGTTTGATATTAAGGTTTTACCATGATAGAGGTTTTATCATTTAATTGCGGTGACACACATGCCTTTATGTTAAAATTAAATAAAACCACTTCTCATAAAGAACAGGAACATGGTCTTCTTTTTAATAAAATACCATGTTTATATAGGCTATATACCAATATTATATAGGCTAATTATGCATTCTTTATAGCAACTTGTTTACCATATTCTTCATTCTTTCAAGCAGACATTTATTTCTATAAATAAATTTAGGATTAATCTTTAGGGCTACTAAAGTTTTTTCAGTCAAGAGCAGCGAGTGATTTTCTGTCTTTCTTTTGTTGCTTGATTAACATCAATGACTCAGACAATAGCAACTAAATCAGGCTGCTATCCCTTTAAAACTGAATGCACGGATGCAATGTACTGATACACATTCTCCCTACTGTTTACATTCACTTAAGACGTAATCAACTGTGTTACCTCATACCTAGTACTCGTCAAAACTGACAATTCGACATAATTGTGTGTGTAATTCTCCGTTCATGCGACGCGAAAGAGTACTCGCACGCTGCGAGACACGCTTTCTGTGTGTGTATGCTTCAGTGTCTGCGCTCAGAAAACCGGGCCGAATTGAGCACTCTTGCGTCGTCAGATTTATTTATGTGTCTGCTCTTCTCTTAAATCGCCACATATTGATATTTTTGAAAGTTTTATGCGACGTGCAGCAAGTGTATTTTAACTTATGTCCCACTGGTTCATATGTACGCATCTAACCTCCTATGCAGCAGATTTGTTCTGAATGAATTTCTTCCCAAATCGTCCCTCCCTAACATTTTCGTCTCGTTTTTATTCATTGACGAAAATGTCAATATATTTTCGTCGTAGTTTTTGTCATTCAAAAAGAGTTTTAGTTCGTTATCGTCTCATAGTCATCAGTGAAAAAAATGTCATGATGAACATTATGACGAAAAATATTCGTCAACGAAATTAACAC